TAATTGACGGAATTGTGAAAGTGTGTACCTCCCAGGGTCATAAACACTAAGCCTTAATTCAAATCAAATGTGTATTTTAAAAAGCATGTCCGGCATCGTAGACTCCTTTCTGTTTGGGTTTAGTTGACATTAGCAATGGTATGGAAACCTGATCAGGAAAGGTTTGCTGTTATTACTGCTTTGAATATGAACTTATGCTTCTCAGCACTCTAAGTAGCTGATTAGGGGAGGGAGTAATATTCTACTTAATTATTGGTTACACATATGGAATAAATCCTATTTTAATGGTGTCTAATGAGCCTTTCATTTTTAGAACCTTACACAAAAGCCTCTAATAGAAAGGGAAAGTAATATTTCAAAGGTCATCTTAATGCCACTTAATGTCAACAATCTGTAATCAGCCAATATATATAGATGGTGATTACAGTCCAGTTACAATTCTTTAAATATAAAATAATCTAAATTAGCAAAGTGATACAAGCTAAGGTTCTTTAGGTTTGCAATAACTTAAACTTTCTAATTAAAGTTTGTTGCTTGAAAACAGCCTCAGAGTTAAAGAAATCCTTCTCAGAGTGAGGCTTCATGCAATGCAGTATTTTCAAGACCCATGAGTGTAAGTTCTATCACTTAACAGTTTCATGCACCGTTCCCATATGTGTCCGCAAAGCCACTGAAATGTGCAAACAGAAAATGATGGCTCCCCTTCTGTGCTTTTTCTCAACAAGAGAATGTAATGGGCAGAAGTATGGGATGTTTTATTGGTCAGGAGGCCACCGAAGGAACTTGTGGGCACACCTATTTCAGAACCAGGTATCTGCCTAGTGGCAAATTAAAAAGTTGGGAATTTAAAGAGTCTCCAGTAAGAGATGGAGATTCTGAGATTTTGTCCTTTTTGCCCCGCTCTGGAATGGAGATGCCTTTTCCATCCTAGGATGGTCGCTGCTACACTAGACCCTATGACCCTTGTCTGAATTAGAAATGGGTAAATTCTGCAAAATGCTTCACTTTTATCACAAGATTTTCATCAATAAGTGGACAGTGATCACAGCATGAATGGCATTCCCTGACTCACCTGCTCACAGTGTAGTAGTGTTCATCAGAATATCAGAATCTTCTGGAGGGCTTGTTAGCAGTCAGATGGCTGGACCTCACTCCCAGCATTCTGCTTCTATAGGTCTGGGGTCAGAGAATGTGTATATCTGACAGGTTCCCAGGCGCTGCCAATGTTGCTGGTCTAGGGACCCCGTCTTTGAGAAACACTCCTCAGGGGTGCATCAGTATGTAACCTGCCCAGTCGTACACATTGACCTTGCTTTCATGCACATAGGGCTTACTCAGTATTTGCTGGGAAAAAATAATGCTATTTAGATAAAATTACTAACATAGGGGAGATTTTCTAGCAAGGAGCTTGGTATGCCAAATGCACACCAGGCCCCTTTTCTACCACTGCTGCTCCCCACACTGTCACCCTGCGTTTGTCTCCCTTGTGCTCTATTCAGCCACCTTCTGTTTCCCCCTTGGATTCTGAGAGTTTGCTTGTTGGTTAGTGTTTCTCTTGTTTTCCTGTTCGTAGTCTGTTTTTGAACCTCGGGCAAACTCTGGCCTGATCATTCAGTCATGTGTCACTGAGTCCTGGGCTCATGGTTCTACAGTTAGTCCAGGAAGCAGAAGATCTGAAAATAGGATATTGTTCAATTTGGGTAGGAGCTGTCCAGTGGCAGTGACACAAGCAGTCAGTTAACAATTTGGACCTTGGATCTCAGGAAGGGCTTGAACTTTAGGAACCTCGAAGAGAAAGCATCTGGCCAGACCCAGGGAAACATTCCTAATGTTCCGTGCTTCCCTAAGTGTAGATGTCAGTTTATAAGGTGAGACTTGCTTCCTCATTAAAGATTTGGAAAACATGAAAAAAATAAGAAGGATAAAAGGCATCCATTTGCCCAAACAGTCAAAGAATCTAATTTTGGTATATTTTATAAACAGTCTTTTATAAGCCTACCTAAATGTTGTTTTATTTTTAATGCATTTGCATTTACTTGAACTTACAAATCTAGGGGTAAAACTGCCTGAGGGAGGGGAAATTCTTGTGATGAATTACAGGGTTGTTCCCATAATAAATGATAATGATTCAGGATAAAATTGTTTGCTTTCAAGTTTCATCCAGATGCCATTAGAGAAATGAATAGCACCTCCTTTCTCTTTTGGCAGAATTGTCAATGTGACAAGTTCATTCAGGTGTGGTGCCCTGCACACTCCTGTGAGGAGCTGGATATTTTGTGCCTCACCAAGGCATTTATTAATCCTTTAGTGCGTGATTTTACTGGTCTTGGGTTCTATGGTTCCTGCAAGTGAATTCTTCAACAAGAGTGAGTTACAGGTGTATGTTATGAGCCCCTGACTACATGAAATTGCCTTTCTTCTTCTGCCTTTATTCATACAACATAATGTGGTCAAACCCTTCATTCATAAACTTTTCCCTTAAGAATACTGTAATGCTATTCTATTGTCTTCTGCCCTTTCTTGTTACAGAGGAAACATCATCTGGTATCAACTGGATTTTGATTATTTTACAGATAATCTTTTTGTTGTCATTTTCAGTCTGGGTGCCTATATTTTCCTCTGTCCTTGCTGTTTGAAAATGGTCAGGATATTCTGAGATATTGTTCATTTTGCACTGATTTGCTTGGAATCCAGTAAGCCCTTTGGTCTTTGATTATTGCTTCTGTTAAGAGTAAGAACAGCAATTAGTTGAGTTTTAACTGAATATTTAAGTGGACATTTAACTGGAAAGACTTGGAAATGGTATTCTTACATATAGTTTATGTCTTATCAAGTGAACAGTTTGAATTAGTCAGGGACATGTCTTGGATCCTTCTAATCCCTCTATGGTAGAACTAGCGATGTTGTTTTATCCTGTACTCACAGAAACCTCATTAATCTTATTCTAAAGTAGTTCTCCACTCTCATCCTGGTGCTGAAACAATGCAGCTTTCTCTCAGACCAAGATCTGAGGCGACTGTGGAACAGAGTGGATATGGGGCCTACTCAGGTTTGGGTATGTGCCCCTGGAGCTGGCCCCAAAATGGAATCCACCCTACAAAAGAGCCTTGCTAGGAACTAGGCTACAGACTTGGTGTGTCTAAAACCACAAGCTCATTTCAGACCTAAGTGTGGTCCACCAGGTGATTCCAAGTCAAATAAACTGAGCTCCAAGAGTTTTCTCTGAGTCGTCATTCAAAGAGAACCCTAAAAACAGAGGTTTGGTCAGCAGAGGCCTCTTAGCTATGAGTTGGGGTTTAATTTTGAACCCCTTTATTCTTAAATTTGAGAGTCACTTGAAAAGCTGCAGAAATGAGCCCCTTAACTCCTCTCTCCCTCTAGTGACGTTTCCTTTCACTCTGCTGAGAAAGTACTTGGCTTCGTCAGCATTCATCTTCTGCTCAGGCTAAATTTATTTTTATGTGAAATAGGAATCAGGAAAACACCAAAATTATTTTAAGCAAAATATCAAAATTGAAATAAACCAACATATGTCTGTGAAACATGTATAACTCTCAATCAAAAATAAGTACAACTTTCATAAATTTCTTAAAATACTCCAGCATGCAAAATCTGGACAACTTAAATAGATGGAGTTATGACATGTTTAATTTTTTTTTTTTACTTAGTTCATCCTTTACTTAAAGATGAAAATTCCAATAACCAAAACCTGGCTGGCTCTAGATCATTCTGTTGTGAACAATGTCCTCTACCATCTATTATAGTAAGTAAGAGAGCCAAAGAGTTTTATAAAATTTCTTGCAGCAAGGTTAAGTTATACCTGCTAATTTTGAATGGGAACCATCTGGAACTTACCTTCCTTTTGTACACACCCTCACCCCACTGCATTTCTCTGTAAGAAGTGAGGCTTCTTAATTGCTTTAAATGTATTTTGCTTCGTTCCAGTAGGTTTTCCATATTTCTCCATTTCCCTTCCAGTGAGAACTCAAATGGGATTAAAACTGTCTAAGTAACATAAATATTCTGGGGCTTAGCACCAAAGGGAGAGTTAAAAGATAAATCCCCATCTTACCTTTATGCTTCATTTATAGGCTTTCTCTAACACATTTTCTTTATTAGATTGTTACTTCAAGGATTGGAATCACTTTAACCCTATTAATAGGAGCTGATATTTTGCCCTCAGAAGACATTGAGTAAATATTACTGTCAATAAATACTATTGACAAACCAGTGACACATTTATTGAAATCTTAAGTCTTTTATCTTCTTTTCCTCATGAATTAGATAACAAAATGTCTGAAAAGTAAAAAAAGATTAAAGTATTACAGTACTTTATTTGGAAAATGATTTCGCACTAAATGAATTGTCTTTTAGCTTCCTTTATAAAAGTGTGTTAAAAACTTTATCTCATTAGCCTTGTCATTACCATATACATTAACATGGTCACTCTTTTGAGGGTTGGAAAAACTTACAAATTTAGTTAAGGAAATGTGTGATCATATTGATCTAGTGGATGCATGTCTTTTTCATCCTGGGCTCTCAGATCTTCAATTCTCCTTTTTCTCATATATCACTCTGATGTTTTTTTCTTATTAGTTTATTAGTTGTCAGAAAGTTTCTTCTTTTCCAGTTCCTTCAATTTAGACCAATTTGGAAATGGAAAAGTGTGTTAATTTTTAATAAATCTTTAAGACACACATTACTGTATTTTTATTAACAGAGCCAGATGGCTCACAGTGAATTTTCTCTGACATAAGTAATCACAGAAATCAGTTTGGGACCCAAATCTGGTACAGAAAGTGGCATGTATATTCAGTGGAAAAATGCAGTTCACGTAAACATTTGGATATTTTTAGGAGCAATATTTATTAATGTTTGGATTTGATTTTATTTTATCATTTTCAGCAAAGTACAAACTAAGGACATTTTCTTTTTCCTGTCCCCCAGACTCAAACATCCAGGGCTCTTCTCAACAACCAAAAATTATTTTCTTTTTGCAGTTTGAAGGTTGCAAGAAGGCCTTTTCAAGGCTTGAAAATCTCAAGATCCACTTGCGGAGCCACACAGGCGAGAAGCCGTATTTGTGCCAGCATCCGGGTTGTCAGAAGGCCTTCAGTAACTCCAGCGACCGCGCCAAACACCAGCGGACGCATCTGGACACTGTAAGAATGGCAGGAGCTTTCCAGTTTCCAACCCAGAACCTGGTGTGAGGAAGTGCCTGCTTGATAGTGGGCTGGTGAAGTGTTTGCTTTATGGTCTGCAGGTTACAGGGACAATGCCAAGGGCAGCAGTGGAGCCTGGTAAAAGGCCAGATGGGGCCCTATTTGGCTGTTTCAGTTTTCTGTAGTAGCAGGTTATTCTAAATATTACAACCTCCTGGGACAAAAGGGTGACTTGGTCACCGCTGTGTACAAAGCAAAAGCAGTTTAGGGGCTGTCCTGTAGTGGATTTTAGTACAGAGAGTGATCAGTAGAGACGGCATTAAAATCAGTATTCAGATATCAAGTTGGTAATGTATGCTATTGCTAGGAATATCAAGCAGTTTTTGTTTGTTTTTCTTTGTTTTTTTCTACCCTGGTTCTTTTCCTCTTGACATAGAACTTTGCGGCTGGAATGATTTTCAAGAGTGAATTTGGCCCTTTGCTTTAGAAACCACCTGGTATTTTCACCTTCAACTGATCTAAGAAGAAACAGCAAATCTTTCCCAAGAGTTCAGTTTCCTCATGCTTTCTATCTGTTAACAGCCGCATATTCTTTGACATCGACCCTATGAGAACAATTGATTTTCATTATTACACGCTTAACTCCCTTAATGCTACAACATTTTGCTCGTTCCCAAATGCCTTTTCTATGATTCTTGTCTTTTATTTTCTCAATTACGTTGATAGCCCTCCTTTGCATTTCCCAGGTTTTGATGCCATTTTCCTTACACTAGGCCAGATAGACTCTATGTAATTTCACTTTGCTTAACAAAGCCATCAGGATAAGTGTATTATACACATCATAGATCTCTTATCCCACATTCTTGCAAATAATGTATTCATGACAGTACTTTTTCGGTGTTAACATTCTGATGTCTATTATTAAACTACACTAGAGTTTGAATTTTGAAAAGATACTGTTATTTCTACACACCTTCTCATACATATTTAAGATCCTTCTGATGTTATAGTTGACATATTTATTAAATTTTATATTAGTCTCTATTAGTCATATTCATAGAAGTCATTTTAGCTATATGTCACATAACCTTTCTAAACAGAATTATCCCTGAATATGCATAAATGTGATGGTTTGCCTAGTAAATATCTCAAATATAGTTAGAGCAGCATGGGTGTAGGATGGACCCAGTTTCTACTCTACCTGAATTCAGTGATTTTAGGGCCAATAAAATAGAATACTATGAATAAATGTGGTGAATAGTGGGATTTTTCTAAGTAGAAAAAGAAAAAAAAAGAATAAATTGTGTTAAAATGCCCTATTTTGTTGTGCCTAAAATGCTCTTGGTGGGATCAAACAAATTTTCCAATTTGTCATTAATCTTTATCATGGAATAATGAACATTTATGAGACAAGATTGTCTTGAGAAATTGCTTCTACTCCACCTAGTTATCTGTAGTTAGAAAGAACTATTGTGAGGCTAAGTGTTATGGTTTCGCACTGGCCTCCTTTGCTTGGAGCTAATTTTAGCTAACCAAACTAAGAGCATTTTCAGAAATCATTTTGGAGTAAAAAAATATATCTTTTTAAAAAACGTTTGAGGAAAACTACCTAATACAGTGATTTCCCAATTTTTGTTAATGCAATAGCTTTTAAAACTCAGCTATTTTTGTTTTTTTGGAAAAATTATTTCTCTATTAAATATTTTTAAAGCATCGTTTTTTCCTGTAAGCTCCAAACTAGCTCCTGTTTAAACTTTTACTACATTTAACAAATTAGTAAGCTCTTTTAAAATCCTATAGAAACCACACACTTGATTTTAAAAACAAACTGTACTTGCTTGAAGAATTTATTATTTAAATTTAGGTCCTTGTTCCCTTTCATTAAGCACTCCTTATGCTAATACTGTCAGAATTTTGGATAAAGTATCTTTCTTCAACTAAGTGGATTCCTTATTTGTAGAAAAAATGGTTTTCCCATAAAGATTACTGAGTTCCTAATTCTAACCCTTAATAGTTGTATTAATTAATTTCTCTATTAGCATCTTAATATCTAGACAGGGAAAGTAATTGTACAGTACAGGTGGAAAATAACAAAATATATAGTTGGATGAAGTGTAGCATGCTAGTTAAAGCTTAGGTAACCTGAGATAAAATGACAGGTGCAGCAGTACTACTTAGATCAGTCCCTGACATTGCTATTTTGGCATACCAGTCCCTCCCTGGTGGCTGACAACAAGAGAAGAAAGTGAAGGTCAGCTGAGAGGAACAGTGAGTGTGTAGTCAAGCTTTCTCCAAGAACATCTCAAAATCAAATAGAAAGCCGGGCACGGTGGCTCACGTCTATAATCCCAGCACTTTGGAAGGCCGACGTGGGTGGATCACCTGAGGTCAGGAGTTCAAGACCAGCCTGGCCAACATGGCGAAACCCCATCTCTACTAAAAACACAAAATTAGCTAGGCATGGTGGCGCATGCCTGTAATCCCAGCTACCTGGGAGGCTGAGGCAGGAGAATCTCTTGAACCCGGGAGGCGGAGGTTGCAGTGAGCTGAGATCGTGCCATTGCACTCCAGCTTAGACGACAGAGTGAGACTTTGTCTCAAAAAAAAAAAAAATCAAATAGAAAATGACATTACCAACCTAAATTGTAGTGACCATGGTAATAATAATGGCATCAATGTATATAATTTGTTAATAGTCATCAAGTCTTTTGTACATGTAACATCTCCTGTAATGCTCAAAGCATAAGCTTTTACAATGGGATTGCCAGTAAAGATCTTAGCTAGTTGCGCTCCTGAAGCCAGGGCAGGGTGGGGAAGGCTAGTGCAAGAAGGCTATGCGAATTCAGAAAAGATTCCCAGGTTAAAGAAAATCTTTGCTTACTCAGTAGAAACTAACTGGCAAGTGACTTTAGCCAATAATCTCACTATTTTGTAGAAACCATGAGGTATCGAGAACCTGGTTCATCTGTTGTTCACTTTTAGATCCCTAATCTGAAACACAGTGCCGAGCACATCCCAGAAGCATACTTTTGAGTGATTCAACCAACCAGACAGTCAGTCAGTCAGTCAATGAACACAGCAGATGTCAAACATAGAATTCAAGTTTGGTATGTCAAATTAAATTATATATTCATGATTTAACCTTGTTCTTGGAATCAAAAATGACACACAAAAAAGGAGTGAACCATAAATATGGCTTCTAGCAGGTCAAATAATGTAATCCACTTATTTGTTGGCTCACAGAATGACACACATGCACATAAAAACAGAAGCAACAATAAAATCAGATTAGTCAGATGATGATGATTATTATTATTATTTTACTATAACAAGTTACTAGAGCAAGAATCCCGAGACAGGGTTTCAGGTCTGGTCCTTACATTTCACATCATACAAGCACAGCTCTAATACCTTGCTTGATGAGACTCTAAGCAGATCAGTTACTATTAATATATGTTATAAACACAGTTAATCCTGTGATTTTTAAATTTTTCATTTCTTGAAAAAGCAGAAGATTTTGATTTATCTCACAACTGAAGAGTCATAGCCTCAAACCTTTGATAAGTTTAAGGGTCATAACAGTAGGAATAAGTGCTGAAATGTGAATGGATGTGAGCTGCTGTTATTCATTCATTCCTGTTATGTACCAAGCACGAGGGGTACAACAATTAAAAAATGCCAGACATGGTGGTGCACACCTTTAATCCCTGCTACTCAGGAGGCTGAGGCAGGAGAATCACTTGAACCCAGGAGGCAGAGGTTGCAGTGAGCCAAGATTTCATCACTGTACTCCAGCCTGAGCGACAAGAACAAAACAACAATATATATATTGTTATATATATAAAAAAAGAACAATATATATATATATAAAAGCCTAGACTCAGCCTTAAGCACCATACCTCACATCTTCTAGGAGCATGGGGGAATTGAAATAGCCAAAATGTGTGTTCTGATTGCACTCAGCCAAGAGCTTATTCACTTAACTCAGGCTCAACACTAGGACACCTCTGCAACTAATATTATTAATGCTTCTCTGGATGATTTTTCACGTGTCTGTTTGAAACCTACTGTCTCTTACTCACTTTACACTAATTTTCTCTTCTTAATTCTCTCCCTTTCTCTTCTGAATCAGGTTTCTTCTGAAAAATACCCAGTTTTTTTCTGGACTTTACTACAGCTTCTTTACCTGAACCCTTAAAGAATATGTGTTTACTAGTTTCTGACAGTACCAAAGATTATTCTCAGGGAAACATAACTGTAAGTATGACTAGAGATGCTTACTAATAATTTCCACATTAAAAAGTGCCACAAGCGGTTTTGTGGTTAGAGTGTACACTAAAGCAATCTCTTAGAAATCATCAAGGATAGGGCATCTCTTTGTTTCTTGAAAGTTTACCCTTATCTTAACCATCATGCGAAGTTACTAGACTTTGTAATTAAAATGCATGAGTATTAGCTAGCATTTCACATCAGTCAATTGGTAACAGTTCATGCTCTGAAGTCCATAGTCTTTGAGTGAAACATTCCCCAGTTACCTTTATGATTTAACCACAGCTGTTTCTTTCTTTCTTTCTCATTTAGAAACCTTATGCTTGTCAAATTCCAGGATGTACCAAACGCTACACAGACCCAAGTTCCCTAAGAAAGCATGTGAAGGCACATTCTTCCAAAGATCAACAAGCAAGGAAAAAGGTAATTTTTAAAAGAGAATCTTCCAGTCGGGAAAAGCATGTTCAAATTATTCTTGTAGTACACAAAGCTTCTGCAGGGCACTTGAAATTCTTATACTTCTCATAGTGTAACCTGCTTTAGACCGTTTGAGGAGGTAAGTCTCCCATGAAGTAACAGCGAGGCTATGGTTTGCATAGCTGATATAGCTATGCAAATTTCTGGGGAAGGCTTGTATAATAGGAATCAGAGAAAAGTAAGGAAGGTCCATTAAACTGGAAAGCAACAAAAAGCTTTTGTGGAAGTTAAGTTCATATAGCTAAAGATAATTGAATTGGGGAAAACACCACCACAGAAATCTTTCTGGAAAGAAGTGCTTTTTCATAAAATATCAATTAGCCAAAATCGTGAAGCTCTAATGAAGAAGATAAGTAAGTCTGTAGGACAAGTAGAGAGCATTCTTTACGCTTAGAGAAAAAGCAGATTTCTGAATTTGTATGAAAATCTGAAAAAGGAATTGAACTTAAAATCACTTTGACATTAATGAGGGGTTAATGCATTTTCAAAGTTCATAAAAATCATAATATCTCAGATTTGGAAGAAATGTTAGAGACCAACCAGCCAGTCCACCTGGCTTGCTCTCCTAACTCCATAAGATGTCTAGCAAGTGGTTGACTGCACTGTGCTTCAACCCCTCCAGAGACAGAGAGCTTACTACCTTTCAAGGCATTTCCTAGTAACTAAGTTTTTACATTTTTGGATCAATGAGTATCTTCTATTCATGGCAGAAAACATGTTGAGCTGACCTTGGCGTTTCGAGTGTTTCATTGGTATTGAGATGGGTTCTTGATTCATTTAAGAGCCCTTTATAACAAATTTAAGGGCAGTTTAAGACTCAACGTATTTCAAGTGATTGAACCCCATGGCAAGGGTTTTCAGGTCACCGTGGCTTCTACTGAGAAATTTTGCATTCTTTCATGGTTTATAGGGATTTAACACTTTTATGTTGGGAAATGCTCTGTAGTCTTCTTGTTACTTGAGATTTTTTTTTCTTCCTTGAGAAGTGTTAGCACAGTGCCAGCCAAGGGTGCGTATATGGAAAGAATTTGACCTTTTCCCTGTGAGTTAGAAAAATGCTCAGTCAGGGGGATTTGATACATAGTCTTAATTGCATACAAACCCACTCTTGTAAGTTAATTGTAAAAATCATTTTCCACTAGAAATATAGTTAAATTTCTTTAATTGGAATCCCAGTAAATTGATATCTGTGATCATTAGACAGACACTGGATTTGCTCTCGTGTTTCAGAAAAGCAAAGGAACTGCTAAGTTAATTAATAATGTAAATAAAGTGAGAAAGCATGTGCTTAATCTTCTTAAAATAACACACCCTTTTTGCATGGTATTAACTACTTTCAGCAGGACCACTGTCCATTGTTTTGTTATCATCTATATATACCTTACAAATTTGAATTAGTAAAAAAAAAAAAAAACACACCTTCTAGATGAGGGGGTTTTCTTCCCCCTGAATCTGATCATTTTCTGCCTCCAAGTTGTCCAAATGTGTAAGGTTTTATTGTAATAGTGAATCTATCATTAACATCGGAGAGTACCCTTGTAGAGATTAACAATTGTCATGGACATGAAAGAGTATCGGTCCCCTATCTAGACAAATAAGCAACACTGTAATGTTCACGTTAAGAAGGTAACCTAGGTTGACAGATTTGGAAATGTAACGGGATATTTTCAGGAATTATTAATGGTTTCTCCTGTTCAAACTTGATGTGTTTCAGCCTCTGTATAAAGAAAGAGTAGTTTCGATTGTGTGAGAGATTGTTGAAGCACTAAATGAAAAAAGAAAACCAAATCTTGAGACTATAAAATATTATTTTACTGACAATTTGCAGGCACCATTTAACAAGCAATCTAAATAAACAAGGGTGTACTTTCAAGGAGCAGTATTGTAATCTCATGTCAAATATTGCAGTGTTATCTTAATTTTGTCTTATGTAAAAGAAGGCCCTGTCTCTCAAATGGCTTAGCTTTTGATGTTCACTGTTTTCTGCAAGTGGTTGAATTGGATTTCATTGACTTGTTGACTTGCATTGCGCAGCCCTTAGTGATAAGTTTGCAGTGTTTACTTTCCGATTTTAGCCTGCCTTTTTATCCAAAGATTTTAAAAATTCTTTATGAATCCATGATGGATTAATTTGTGGAAATTGAAATGATGAAAGTTGCTCCATCCAACAAAAAAAGGAAATGTCACTCCCAGGAGAAGCAGTTGCTAATAAACCTGAAACTAGTCAATCCATATTTCCAAATCTTGTGCTGATATACCAGTGTGTAATATTTACATGGTACAATGTTGTTACTAGACCTTGGAGAGATTCTAATTGCTCACTCACATCAGGACTTGGTATTTGAAATATTTCCTGGCAGCAATAAAAAAAAAGAAACAATAAACCTTTTAAGGCAGAATTAAGATTATTTACGACTTTAATTAAAAATTGAAAACTGGCATCATTTCAAAAAAGCCTTTACAAAAATGTGAATTAATCAAAAATAACCATAAAAATTCCAAGGTGATAAAGGCACAGTGGAGTAATGGTCCTAGTCCGAGGGAATTGTTTTGTTGAAAAGAATAAAACCCTTTTCTGTCACACTCTGTTAGTCATGGACTTATTTAATATACCCTGCTTGCCTGCCTGCCTCTAATCCTCTTTGTAACCTCCCCCTAGACGCTAAATGACATTATTTTGGTCTTAACGTTGCCAGTTTTATGAGTCTTACTGTGGAATCAGGGCCAGTGACAAGACACCCATAGCCATAGATAAATGCATGTGAGGAGAGGCAGGGATCTCATAAGTGATGCCCTGACCGTGGGCATGTGGCCCTTTCCCACACCTGTCAGATCCTACTGAAAACCAGAAAAACCTGAAATCCCAACTAAACATTATTCAAGCTGTGAAGAGAAAGAAAAAGAAGAAGAAAAAAAAACTCTTCTGCAAAGGAATGGGGATAATTTGGTTCATTGCATGCAGAAGAGTAACTTTTCTCTTTGCATAATTCGTGCACACCCACACATCCCATCATCCGATGTACAGACTTCTTTCATGGAATGTGCTTTGCAGATCTCGAGTCCATTAAATCAAGGGTTACACAGAAAAATGGGTAGCAAAATACTCAAATCACCAACTGTGGTCTCCACAGAGAATAGAAGAAGTTAGCCTATAGAGCAAAAGGCAGAATCTGTCCTTCAATTCTGTCTGATAATGAGTAAGTGAAATAAGAGAAAACTAAGGCAATAAGCCACTTGAAATTTTCCTCAAGGCTATGAGCTTTATCAGAATGTTTCATTTTCACCTTGGAAGTGCCATAAGCGGGAGGGTTTCCTTTAACTCTAGCCTGATATTGAAATGGACTTTTTAAAAGTGCATGCAAAGAATGCCTGACCAGAAGTTAGAGGTTACATGAATCTTTCATCCATTTCACACTTCCACAAAGATTCAAACTTTATTTGTGATTTGTTAAATGTTTGTTAAACATTGACCTATGATCCACTGTGGTTGATGGCTTTCACTTTTGTGACCTCAAAACAGGCTGTTATAAACCAAGCATAGCATTTGAAATGGGTGCAAATGCAACACACATTTATATTTCCTACGTAGAGAACAGCTCTGTATTGCTTTCTGGCAAAATTAGGGCAGTCTATTTACTGTAACTCTTCATAGAGAACTGGTAACTTTTGGGAATCGGTTCAGAGCCACCACCACCTCTCCCCGCTATATACTCAAAACCAGAAAATTTTCATTAAGTACCACATAAGCTCACCTTGCTTTGTACAGTTCTTTGGATCTTTAAGAGCTATGTGAAAATATATATTTTCCTTTAAATTGAAGCATATATTAAGTGGACTAATAAGGCTCACTTTTTCTGTCAGTTGCTTTCAGTCATGGTCTAGACAGCAGATGGTTTATGCACAAGTAGGATACATGACCAGGGGCCGCCCCAGATTTTGTAATCCCTTTTCATTTTTTTCCTTTCTTGTTTCTGCTCAGGAATAAATTAAAAATCAGTTATACTATTAATAGAATATTAGTAATAGGCACATATCACAGACATATCATCTCAAGATGAACTAGTCCACCTCTTCCTCTCACATTTTAGAAACTATATTGGAATGCAGGTGAGGGAGAGTGATGCTGTTATAGGGATGACATTCAAATAGCACTGATTTTTAAAAGCGAGTCACAAACTTCTGTACTTTAATCATTGTTGATGATGCATTACTTACCTCACACCTCAAAATGATGGTGAGACATACCTGAATATCCTGATGCTCTCATTTGAAAGTAACTTACTTCAATAAAGGCTCTGGGAGATGCTTTTGTAAAACAAGTGCTTTTGGTTAGAAATTTTTATGCTAATTAATAATTAAACTCAAATGAAAAAATAAGCCATCTTAAATTTAACGCTGTGCCAATAGCACTGATTTGAAGTTGAAACCAGTTGCTTGGAGGCTTCCCTTTTAAGTAGACCCAATATGATGCCAGCTATGCTTTCCAGAGCATTTTGATGCTACATGGTGATGGGAGCTATTTAACAAGAGGTAAGAATCCATAATTTGCAGGAATTGGGAGAGGTTGTGAATGAAAGTGACCACTTAGTGAGAATAAGCTTCTCTTCCTTTCTTGAGTGATCAGAGAAGCTGTCTTTGGCCTTTCAGTAAATATAGAAAAATATCAAAAGATGTCTACCACCATCTCTGGGGTAATGGTCCAGGATCTTATTTCGTGCTTAAAGCTTTTTCCCAAGGTGTGCGCTTTAGAATACATTCCACAGAATGTTATTAGATATTTCTTTTAAAAAGATTTTTTGGTCATGTAAGTTTAGGACACACTAAGCTAAGTATTATTCAATGGTTTCTTTCTTGCAAGAGTTCTCAGAGCCTTGGATATACGAGTATTCCAGAAGGAAGATAGTGTTAGGCGTTGCTCAAAATTACTTGGCCAACTAAACCATCTT